CCCCAAAACCCCAAAACCCCAAAACCCCAAAACCCCAAAACCCCAAAACCCCTTTCCTATAATAGCATATGGTGATATAATTTATTATAATTATTAAATATGTTGCTAAGGTCTTTGCTCAAGAAGCCAGCTTCTGTAACCACTAATGCCAAAAGAATGATGTCTAAACTCGTCACCAAAGCAGAGGAGTATGAAATCAAGGCTGCTAGTGAAAGCAGACAGTTTAGTAAAGCTCCAATTATGGAAAACTTCGGAGAGCTTCCTCTTGGAGAAATCCCAGAGCCATTAAAATATACAAAGCCATTCAAAATGACAACGTTGAGTAATGGTATTAGAGTTGCTACTGAATATTGGCCATCAGCTACATCAGCAATTGGAGTTTTCATTGGCGCTGGTTCAAGAGATGAGACTATTGAAACTTCTGGAAGTGCTCATTTCTTAGAGCATCTCCATTTTAAAGGAACGAGCAATAGATCCAGGACTCAAATCGAAACAGAGGTTGAAAATCTAGGAGCTCAGTTGAATGCATACACATCAAGAGAACACACTTTGTATCACATGCAGGTATTTAATCAAGACCAAGCAAAGGCTATGGATGTACTTTCAGATATGCTCACGAACTCATTATACAATAACCATCAGATTGAAATTGAAAGAGAGACTATCTTGCAAGAGCTTGAAGAGACCAACAAGGATTACCTTGAAACTCTGATGGAAAACGTCTACTTCAACATTTATAGAGAGCATATGATGGGCCATCCTATTCTTGGTGATATCGACAATATCAATGCTATTAACAGAGATATGATTGTAGAATTCCATACTAACCATTACTTTGGAGACAACATGGTCGTAGTTGCCACTGGTAATGTCAACCACGATGAAATCGTTGATATGGCCGAGGAGAAATTTGGTAAAGTCAGGAAAGATTGCCCAGGAGAAAGAAGAAACACAGAAAAACCTGTATATACTCCAGCTTTGTTGATGGTCAGAGATGATGAAATGGTCAACTCGAATGTAGGAGTGTTCTATGATGCCCCAGACTGGAAGCATAAGGATTACTACGCTTTCTTACTTCTGCAAAGAATATTTGGATCTTACTCTATAGAGGAAAACGCAGAGCATTTGAATGATGTTGCCAAGCAGTATAATGCACTCCATGGAATGATTGGAGATCTTCCTGATGTAACAAAGCATGAATGCATTTATTCTCCATATTCAGACACTGCTATCTTTGGTCATTACTTCTTTGGAAATGAGGTATTCACTCGTCAAATGAATTATTGTGGAATGGCAGTCAACACAATTTATGGACATTATATGAATGAAGTTGAAGTGTTCAGGGCAAGGAACAGATTGTATCATGAATTAATGAACATTCAAACTGTCTCAGATGTATTGCAATCTATTGGCCCACAGATCCTCTACCTCAACAGAAGAGTCCATAGATCTGAAATTGCTCAAAGAGTCAGCTACTTGGATGCTCATCATATGAAGAATCTCTGTTATGATTATTTCTATGATGCCGAACCTTCAATCACAAACTGGGGGCCAATCGAAGGGGTTTCTTCTGTTGGTTCATACAAATACTTCAAGCAGCACACAATGTCGACAGTCACAAATGCTCATCATGCACTTTACTGTTAAATTATCTTCAATCTCAATATTTTTCAAAGGGGTTTTGGGGTTTTGGGGTTTTGGGGTTTTGGGG